GGGGGGGGGGGTTACCCTGCGACTGCGGATGGAGCAGGGGTGGCCGCGCGGCCTCGGTCACGGCCACCGCGTGGCCTCCGATGGCCCTACTCCAGGGCTCCCTCAGATGCCCCGGGCCTGACGTGACCCACCCACACGGGGCTGTCCTCAACCACCCCTCACTGATGACCTCTTGTGACAACAGCGTTCGCCCCCTTCTGACCTCACGTGACAAAGACGTGCGTCCCCTCGTTTATGATCTCACGTAACAGACGCGTGTGTGTCCCCTCTGATATCATGCGATGGACCTACGTCTCCCTTTCCCATGAGCTCATGTGACGATGGCAAGTATCCTCCCTTACATATGACCTCGCATGATAACGGCACGTGTGTCCTCCTCATGACCTCACGTGACAAGAGCACTCATGCTCGACACAGGACAAGTTCACACGAGGCAGCGAACGAGACAGAACGGGACACAGGGCTCAGAACACGGGTCGCAATCACCAGAAAACCCAAGAAGCGGTGGCTGTGACACGTACCTGGTCACTGCCCCTGAGAATATCCTCTCGATCATCTTGGTGGACAGAGCTGTGGAAACGGAATCGGGCCGTGAGCCGCGGGCACATGCCCGCGGTCACGGCCCGACCTCACGCGAGCGGGGCCGGCCGGGCGGGCTTGGGTCAGGAACGCCGAGACCCGGGCCGGGCGGGGGTGCCACAGAGGGCCTGAGTCCCGCACGTGTCCTCCCCGGGGTGCCACCGAAGGACGGAGCCCAAATCCAAGCCGCGAGCGTGGAAAGCCGACCTGGGTGCTCCGACAAGAAACGCGCCGGGAAGAGCACAACACGTGTCTATTCCCGCTTCCAGGTGCCCCGACTCCCAACTCTCTCCCTTCGTGATCAAAACCAAACGCGTCCAGCTGACCCGACAGAGGGGAGGTGACCACATCGGTCAGCGGAGGTGCCGGGCCCGACCCGGCACTGAGCCAGGGGCTCCAACAACACACATTCATCCTCTCCCAGGGCTGCTTCCTCCTGAGGCCTGTCTCCTGGGCGTGTAGACGCCGTCTTCTCCCCGTGTCCTCACGCGGTCACCCCTCTGTGCGTGCCTGTGTCCTCGTCCCCTCTTCTCGTAAGGACGCCAGCCCTATGGGATCAGGGCCCACTCGACCGACCTCATTTTACCTTAATCCCCTCTTTGTAAAAACCCCACTCCACTGACAGGGCCATTCTTGGGTCCTGGGAGGCGTGGCTCCGAAAACGAATTTGGGGGGTGCCCAGAGCAGCCCATTCAAAGCACCGTGTCCCCAAGACAGGGAAACGAAGACAGCGTCTGTCCACGTCTCCCAATTCATGCTACGCCGATGAACGTCACCCTGGTATGAAATGACCGGATGCTACGAGAGGCTCAACTGTGTCTCCCCAAAACACACGCCTGCATCCTGGTTCCTGGCATCCGGAGGTGGGTCCTTAATTGGCAACAGGTGTTTGCAGACGTGATTAAGTGAAAGACCTGAAACGAGGTCACCCTGAATGATCAAGATGGCCCCAAGACAATGAGCGTCCTCGTAAGAGACAGAAGAGAGACACAGACACAGAGGAGAAACCATGTGAAGGTGGAGGCGGAGACGGGAGGGACGCGGCCACGAGCCCAGGAATGCCTGGAGCCTCAAAAGCTGGAAGAGGCAGGAAGGACCCTTCCCTGGAGCCTCTGGAGGGACTGTGGTCCTGCCCCGCCTGGATCTCAGCGGCTCAGCCCTTCCAGGATTTCACCAGCCTTGCCTGCTGGATCTCAGCGACCCTACCTTGCCTGGATCTCAGCAGCCCTGCCTGAATCTCAGTGGCCTTTCCCTGCCTAGATCTCAGTGGTCCTATCCCTCCTGGATCTCAGTGGTCCTGCCCTGCCTGGATCTCAGTGGTCTTGCCCCACTTGGATCTCAGGGGTCCTGTCCTGCCTGGATCTCAGTGTTTCTGCCCCTTCTGGATCTCAGGGGTCCTGCCCCTCCTGGATCTCTGCGGCTCTGCCCTGCCTGGATCTCAGTGGCCCTGCCTGGATCTCAGACTGTGGTCTGCAGAAGTGGAGGAGGAGAACTTCCTGCCGCGGGATGGCCCTGGTTTGTGTGGAAACTTCTGCACAGCCGTCCTGGGCATCGCTGCTTCGTAAATTCCTTGACTCTGGAGTTTTGGTCTTCAGACAAAAACAGGATCCCGTTCTATTGCTTTAGGCCCTGTGCTATGGCAGCCCCAGGAAATATGCCCTCTCACTTGGATGTGGAGATCCAGAGGCTGAAAACATGGAGCCTCGAAGGAAATGTACCTTGTGGCTGCAGAGGAAGAAGTCACCTCCGACCCCCTCTGCCTGGCTGCCGCCGCCCACGTCAGACAACCCTGTGGGCCCCAACGCTCTCACAGGTGGGGCTGGCTTACGTGGGCAGGTCGGCCCCCCGCGTATCCACGTGTTGCCGTCTTCCGTGTGCATGTGTCCCACGTGCGTCCCCGTCTCTAGTGCTGTGCTCCGCACGTCCCGTGTCTACCCCGTGTGTGCCCTGCATGTCCCACGTGTCCGCCCGTCTCACGTATTGTGCCCCGAGCGTCCCGTGTGTCTCCATATCCCGTGTGCGCTGCGGGTTGCATGTATGTCCGTGTCTCACGAATGCCCTGCAAGTGCCACGTGTGTTCCTGTCTCACGCGTGCACGTCCCGCGTCTCCCGTGTGTGTCCCGCAACCACAGACCACTCCCGGAGACAGGAGAGGTGAACGGGAGAGGAAGGCGGTTTTAGGCATCGGGCCACAGTCCCGGGGAGGCGGCCATGGCCAGTGGCACCAGCCAGAGCTGAGTACCCAAGGGGCCGACGCTCGTGGGCCCCCTTGTCCCACGCAGGCCGCAAGCTCACCGTGGTCATTGTGCCGGGCCAGGTCCTGGGAATCGATAAGAAGGTCGTGGTCCGTGTCCAGCTCCCAGAACTTGCAGTAAATCACATAGAAGTGCTCGTACGAGAAATACTCTGTCAGCTGGTTGATGTCTGCTTCCTCTTCCAAGAGTGCCACGTTCTGCCAACACAAACCCAACAAACCTGCTACCCTCCTCTCGGCGCGATCCCCATGGGAGGGGGCCCCTCGTGGGTGGGACCGCCGGGCAGCTCACGTCACAACAGGCCCGAGGGGTGGGAGCACGGCACCCGGGTCAGGAGCCCACCCAGGCGAGGGTCCGGCCCGAGACTCGGCGCGGCTGCCGCTGGCTGCGAGAGGCAGTCCTGCGGGCGTCCACGCTCTCACCGCTGCGGCCTCCTGATGAGGACGGGTCAGCCCCGTCCTCATGAACGTCCACACGTCCGTAGAACCTGAGTGAGGAGGGCACCCCGCACCCAGTTCCCATGGTCCTGCAATGGATGCTGGGAGGTCTGGGTAGACGGTTGGGTAGAGGGTGGAGGATGAAGAATGGAACAAAAGAATGATGGAAGAACGGTGGAGGGAGAATGGAAGGGTGGAGGGTGGAGGATGGAGGGAGGAGGGTGGAGGATGGAGGGAGG